CCCTTCCCTCCTGACGAAAGGTGTGAACATTTTGCCATACTGTTGGTGCCTGGAAGCCTCATACCGATTCCTGGTTTGGGAAGGCCAGCCAGCCTCAGGATGACCACGTAGACATACAGGATCTGAAACAGGTCCCTAAACGACCCAGATGACATAATTCTGATGTTCATTCCCTTCCACCCTAACCACACAATGAAATCCTTACCTATTTGATGGAAGTCACCGTAACGAAATAAAAATTAGTCTAAACCCTCTCTCATTGATGCTCTAACGACCGAGCTAGAATAGCAGAGAACTAGTAACCCTAGGAAAAAGTGATCCGGAGAAAATTTGCAAGAGTACTTAATAAATAAGGCCTATCCCTTCCTTCTTTTGGCAAAGAGATATTTTATCACTCCTCCCAATTTAAATGCAAGAGAGATTTTGCTCAGTTTGCTACTACGTTTTAACTTGAAGACTAAGCGCAGAGTTTCTTTTAACAAACACCAAAGGAGTCGGCGAGCTGGGTCAGGAGGTGAGTGACGTCCAGGCTCCCTCCTACCCGCCACCTGCGGCATGGGGCTGCGTGGGAGAACCGAAAACGCCAGGCAAGGCAGGGAGGAATCTCCGAAACAAATGCGAAGCCGCATTTTAGCTGTTGTTCACAATACAAAGCAAAGATTGTGCATATCTTAATGGCACATGTACCACAGGTCTTTGACTTCTTGGTACAACATCCCCCCTGTCTGGAAGCCCTCTACAACAAGCAGGTGCGAGTTTACATTATTCTGGCTTTACCCAGTCATTTGGGGAACATGTGGCTCATAAAATTTCACCCTCTGTTGCACCGGCTCATCCTCCGAAGGAAGCAAGCCTCAAGCCATGCGGCTCAGCAACGAGGGCTGCGAGCAGAGGTCAGACCTCGGGTACAGCTCAGCTCTGCCACCGACGTGCCTTTGACCCAGCTCGGGTTGATGCTGTCTGTGCCTCAGTTTCCCTCTCCACAAAAGTGCAACTTACCTCTTGCACAACAGGCTTTTACCTACGGCTCTCAAACATGCTTCCGTTGGAAGTATTACCATTCAGAAAATTAAATCATTTCAATTCTTACCATGTAGGGCTATGCTGATATTTCATATATGTAAAAAAAAAATAATCGGTGCATTCAGTGTCAAATTAACGGAGAAAATGAGTACAACGAAATCACCGCAGGCAACACAAGCTTTGTGACAAAGCTCTAGCCCTCTGCATATGTTGCAAGTACCAAATGCACCAGGTTATGAGCATGAAGTGATGCTTGTCCTGGTCAGTCATATGTACCGTTTCTGTTCTGATCTTTGGCAAAAAGCAAATACACCATAAAAGCGCAGGCTGGTCCTGGCGTTGCTAACAGCTGCCCGGAGTAGAGCTCGCAACGTCTCCTTTTGCTCAGTTGCTAACGTCACTTACATTAAGCAAGATCGAATGGATAGGAGGTTAGCAAAAGGATTGCATGTGACCATATTATTCAGCAAAACTACATGGACAATAAGGCCCAGAAGACAGTCACCCACTGTTTTTAACTCCTCACTATCTAAAAAACCCGTCCTCCCACTGCATCCACCTCACAGGCCCGGCAGTGCCAGCCATGCGGGAGCAGACCCAGCGGCGGCCGCGTGCCGCAGCTCCCGCACTTCCACGCTGTACAGCTCGGCAGCTGAAGACACGTCCCCTGGCTTCAGTATGGCCCGTCCTCCTCATTTCGTAGGATTTAAAACTGGTAGGATTCCACTGGGTTTTAAGGAATCACTTCCACTTTGTACTTCTATGAGCAAGTGAAAAACTAAGTCCCACGTGGATGAAAACAACAACTCCAGGAGAGAACCACAAGCTGCAGAGAGCAAACCAGAAGAAAAGGGTGGGTGAGACCAACTGAGTCACTGCATTTCTACTCAAAGGAGGATTTCTCTTCAAAAGCAATCTGAAATGTTTGATGCAGCGTTCACTGAAAGGTCTCTTCCTGGTAGCACAGGGTGTGCATCCCTGACCTCAGGAAGCCTGAAAAACCTGTTCTCTTGAATGCAGCAGGAAAAACTAAAAACAAAGAAGTAAGCCATCAGTGCTGCACTCCAGTACAGGAATGCGACCAGACCATGAACTCTTCCTAAATTTTCAGCTGTAAGTGCTGAAACGCGGTATTATATGTCTAGGCATGTGTTTCGCTGGGGTTACTCCAAGACCCACCCAGCTGGAACGGGTAGGAGCTGCCAGGACAGGGTAGGAGCTGCGGACCGAACCCACCATGGCGGCGCTCACCCCCGCTCTGGCAGGCACAGAACCCCCTTCAAGCAGCCCCCAAGTGCTTTGCTAGACAGGGTTTAAAGTTAAACGTGTATCTGGGTGAACCGGAACTTAAGAAATCACAGACAAAGAAGCATCTTCCAGAGCGGGGGCTGATTATTATTATTCTACCAGGAGATATTTTACTGGGGATGGTGATATTTTATTGCAGGTACAAGGGAGAGCTCCGAGCTTTCGGTAGTGCACACACCTACAGAAGGTATAAAACATCCCATCCTTTTGTTCCAAACCAAGCGGGCGTGAGGCAGCTCCACAGCCAATTGCTCCAGGATGGGCAAAAATCCTCATCCTCGTGGCAGCTCCAGCTTCAATAAAAAGTAAAATAATACTGAAAATCAAGGTTCAAAACTATCTAAATTTATCCAAAGTCAAGTCACTGACCAGACCCATAAGAGGAAATCAATCCATGCATGGTTAATAAGAGCACATTCAAATAACATTTCCAAACACTGTGAGTCTCTTTGAAGCCACATATGACCGAGAGTGAGGATTTCAGACCACCCCGTGCCATTGGCATTTTAGGCAGAATTTCCTCTCCATTGGTGTCTACTGAGAACATTACTTCAAAATAATTAAAGGCCCAGCACAATCATCGAAGATAAAATACAAAGCAGTCTTCAAACTCCATCCCTTGAGGAGGGACACATTTTGTGAATTCTTGACAGAAGTAATAAATAACCCTAGAGAGGCCGACCTTTATTTCACAGCTAAAACCTAAATCTCCAGTGATGTTATTAAGCTCCAGGGAGCAGAGGAAAGTGAGCTGGCCTGAGCGGGGTGGGACGGCTCACACTCCTGTACTCAGAGGATACACAAATAATGGACAGCGTTACGTAAAACCACAGGAGTGTCGGATCATCGTGTCAGTTGTGCTTTTATCTGGTTTGCTTCCAACTTTCTTCTCGAATGAGTATTATCTATCACGAGCAGGAAAGTATGGTTTTCCTTTTATTGTGTGCATCCAGTAACACTGTTCTTCAATGAGTGGCAAAAACGGGGCCTTGAATGAGTTCGGGGGGGTCTAACACAGGGTCTCCCTGCCCTGGCAGATTAGGAAACGCTGACCTTGGGCATACAGCCTCCCGCATCCCCCCGCTTGGGCTGTCCCCCGACCACTGCCACCACACCGGGATGGCCGTGGCGGGAGCCAGGGCACCCCGCAGACAAGCGCACGGGACGCTGGACCCCGCTTCCGATCGACAGCGTCTTCCGTCAGCTAAAAACAGGTGAAAAATGGGCAGGGTGCGGCAGTGCCGCCTGGCAGGGCTCTGGGGACACCGGCCCCAGCTGGCGGTGGACCCAGCCCCAGCTGCGCCGCGGGCCCTGGCTCCTGCGCTGGGACACCACGCTGTGGGACAGCACACGCAGAAGGCGTGCGGTGGCTCTGGGGGACTTTTTTCTAGAGCAGTTATAAAGTGGGAACTGTGGGAGCATCACCAGGACCAGGAGGCTGCAGCCACGCTGGGGAGCACCCCCCCCCCCCCTTCTCCTCCTCCAAGCAGAGAGGGAGCCTGGGCGTTCGGTGGAGGAGATAATGACTCTGAATTATTAAGCAAACTTCCTGTTAGACTTACTTAGAAAAACTTCTCTATACCTTCCCCGGCTGTGTCTGAACCAGCCCGTTCATGACAGAGCTCCGTCTCTGGGCTTCACCAAGGTAAATACAGGAACGAGCGTCCTCGCCTCGCGGGGGGAGGCGGAGAGCAAACGAGGCTGAACGTTATTAATAACAGAACATCATTTTCTCAGGAAAGGGCAGGCTCGTTGCCTGAATATTCAACAGAGCATTAACCGTTTGGTTTGTATGTGACTGGCAAAAGCTGGGTGTCAATATAATATATAATATAATGATGACCATTTCACTTTAACCGGCGTTTATTCCTGAACTGCTGTTCTTCAGGATCACCATTGTAATAAGCACTGAACAAAGCAAAACAAAAAAAGAAAAACAAAGCAAATGAGGAAGAAAAGGAGGAGGAGGATCTTTGTCTTATTATGACATACGTGACTTGGACATACGCTGAGATGAAAAAGGAAAAGGCCTCATCTATAAATGTATGCCAAGGTTACAGAATAATGGGAAAAAGTGGTCTAGCAGGAAAATCTTAAGCAAAAGTGTGCTAACTGCAGAAGGGTTAACACTGGTAACATACTGTGGCAGAAGATTAAAAAAAAGTTGAGGTTTACTTTAAATTAACCCTTTCCAGTCCATATGCCACTAAACAGGTACCAACCTAGAAAAATAGTCCACCTAGCAGTAGCGGCCCTTTGAAATTAAAAAGAGAAAAAAAATAATTTCTTTTGTTCAAGTCAGGGCGGCCACAAAAGTCCCAAATCTGTTGGAGATGTCCGAGTGCAGGGACCTCCACGTCGGCACCGCAGTCCGGCCCTTCGCCTCGCCCACGTCGTCCGTGCAGTGGACCGAGAGGCACTGCAGGTGGCTGCCGGTCTGCGCCGTGGCCGAGGTCTTGCTCGGGGGAAGGTCGTGGGCTGGAAAGGGTTCACAGAGAGAGCGTTAGGAGAACTGTGCAATGCAACCCCATCAACTCACACAACTGGCAGCATGTGGAGAGCGTCTCCGCACCCGCCTCTGCCCTGCCGGTCCGCGCCCCAGCTCCTGCACCCATGGCATCCCCCGGCTCGGGGACGCGACATCGCTGCCACTGATACAGCTCCCTCTTCCCACCCCGCAGCAAGCTTCTCCGGCTGATTTTTCACTGTCCCAGAAAAACACCAAAAATATTCTCTTTCACATGCACTTCTTTTAAAGTAAGCAATCAATACGTTTGAACTGGGGATGTATACACGACTGATTATGCGTGTCCTGGACTGTAGCACAACTGGGAGTTTTCACTCCCCGTGCACCCTCCACTATTTGAAATCGATATTGAAACTTCCCCAAGCAGGAAACAAGCCCCGAACCCTCCGTGTCCTCCAGGTCATTCCCATCGTCAGTCTCTTACAGGCACAGGTCTCCCTGTTCACTTCTTTTAATGAAGCACCACGATAACATTTTTCTTATAATTTCTTCATTTTAGGACTTTGTATGATCCTTAGCCACCATTAGTTTCTGTTAACCACAGAAATTAGAGAGTTTAACTGAAACTTCCTAAACGATGTCCCAGGCCTTTTTCCTCTGGATTTCATAGTTAATATGAAGAGTAGCTAGAACTGTTCCTTCCAAAGTATATTACCATGTACTCATGACTCGTTCCCACTGTCACTCCATTATTTTTCCTTGCTTCCATTCTTAATACTTTCAAGTAATCTTCTCTGTCGCAAATATATTTTTCTCATCTTCAAAATTTGCCTTGGTGCATGTGCCCTCTCCCTGCCCGGCGCAGCCAGGGACATCTTTCTTTCATCACCTTCTTCCTTGCTGAAATCAATCACTTCGTTAGTTCTTCTCCACTGCTCGTAGTCAAATCACCAAAAAAACCCCAAAGACGAAACCCCCCCAAACTTCAGCCCTCGCCTTCTAACTCCTCACGTCCTCAACAGCCCCTCCACGGGGCCCTTCTCACAGACCCTCTGAAACAGCAAGGCAGCGGCTGGTGTCCGCCGTGGCTTAGGCTGGGCAGCCCGGCGGCCGGCGCAGGCTGGGGCTTGCTCCCTTCTCCCCAGGAGGAGCCAGCCTGCCAGCCGGGAACACAGAAAACCCTCTCGGAGCTAACGTACCCCCAGGAACGCCACTGCTGCTGCCAGGGAGGATGCCTGAGCCGATGCAGACAGCCCCCCTGCCAGCCCTGGAAGGAGGGCTTTTTGTGGGATAAAACCAGTGAGTAAATAGAAGAACGGTGCAAGGCAAGACAAAAAAGTAAACATCTTGACAGGCAGCCTGCATTTCCTCTCATCCACCATTTCGCTCATGTTCACCCAGAGCACAAGAGGTAAGACCAGACCCACTGCAGCACTAGCTAATGCAGGGACCGTAATGGCTCTGACAGACCCTGAGAGTTCCCATCGCACAGGGCTGAGGGTGATGCTGGAGCATGCCAAAGATGCCAAAAAATGGCTGTGAATATTTAACCTCCTTAAGACTTTTCTTCACATCATCTTTCTCATGTTCCACAAAGCCGAGCAGTGCAGGTTTACCACACTTCATGGGGCAAGTTGTATTTGTTTCACTTAACCAGCTGCTACACCAGATACAAAACAGGAACTGAACAGCTTGTTACACGATCACAGTGATATTAAAAAATAATCTTAAACTAGTCTGGAAGTCCCTGGTTTAAACTGGAAAATGCTTTTAATGCTTGCTTACAGGATGTCAGAGATGCTCGTATTCAAAACAGTATCATAACACCACACAGAGAAACTAATTAGAACCTGGGGACACGATGCTATAAACAATGGGAGAAGGAACACGGCTCCAGAGCAGTGCTGCTGCCTGCTCAGCCATGCGCTGCATTAGTGCAACCATGTGCAAAATCAACACAGAGCTCCGTTACACACCTCAGCCTAGCACAGCCGCGCGCTGGGTTTGCATTTCTGGAGCATACCCTCACTCACTGCTCGAATAAAGAATCCAACATCAGCAGGTCAAAGATGCTCACGTTCTCTAAACTCCAAAGTGGATTACAGTCCCCTGTAGTTGGCGCTGGGTTTTTTTAGTCAGGTTGGATAAATAAGCAGTACTGAGGAGCAGAGCTGAAGCACAGAGCAGAGTTTGCCGCATAATACCCAAATGCAGAGTTTCAGCAGGCAGAGACGGCATTAGCGCGGCCTGCCTTTGCTCCAAAGCGGGGAACTTCGACTCTTCTTTCCTGTTACCCCTGGGCCCCACCACACCCCAGACCCTCTCCCTCCCCTGCACAGTCTGCACCTGCCTCTGAAGAGTAACAAGCGTTTTTACCTCCCCAGGGGAGTGTTTCCACCTCGGCCCCTAACACGAGGGGCACATCTGTGCTGCGGACCTGGTCCACTGGCAGCACTCTGCAGGCACGGCAGCCCTGCGCAGGGCAGGGAACAGCACGGGCTGCTCCACCAGCACACGGCTAGCAGCTGCGGTAGTGCGGACCAGTGAACCCCAAGCTGACGTTATTGTGCCACCTCGGGAAAATCACAGGGCAAAAAAAAAGACTCCCTAAATAAACGCTATTTGATGAAGTGTTCAATTTAAACTTACTATCCTGAATGTAAATATACCTGAGTAACTTTTTATTTATAAAATGTTTAAAACCCAAATGGGATTGTGCAGAGAATTGAGAAAGGGAAACGTTTTTCTTATTTGTATTCGTTCACGTCCCTTACAATGCACACAGTACCCAATATTTTTTATTCTTAGGTTTCCCTGAACGTACAGGACATGCTGGTCTCGGCACAGGAAAAGCCAGCGCCTTGAGATTAGTCTTTGTGACAGCAGCTTTCTTCCTCTGCCGCAGAGAAAGAGGAAAGAGTCCCACTGCTGAACTGCTGTCATGAGGGGCCCAGGGATCTCGGTGGTGTTTCTGCAAGGAGCATTTACTGCAGGGCTCCAGGAGACCGGCCTCTCGGCTGAGGACACCGACAGAAGAGGCAGAGCCAGCACATTCCCAGAGCAGGACCCAGCAGCCGGCTGCACGTGCCCGGGCGCCTGGCCGGGATCAGAGCCGGAGCTCACTGCGCTGTACTGGTGCTGGCAGCGATGTCTGCATCGGCCGTGCAGACACCACTGACACCCAGAACGGATCAGGTCCTCAGCCAATGATTAAGTGAGGAAGTTCATACACCACAAGAATCTAAAGAATAAAAAATTAGGCTTATTTAACTTGTAAATCAGCAAATTATTTCTAAAACGTTTGCTGTGGATAAAATTCATAGGCAAACTACTGATAGAGGAATCAGTGCAAAATCTATCCCGCAGTGACGAACAGGGTTTGTTGGCCTCAGAGGAAAATCCAAGTAAACGAGGTGAGCAGGACCTGATCCTAAGTTTGCAAAGTTAATACTGATTGCCACTGTCCACATGATGCCTAACTCAAGACCACTGTGTGGGAGCTCAAGCTCTCTTGGTCTATTATTGAAGAGCACAGAAAATGATGCATTCAAATCCAAAACAAAAAGAGGGTGAGAGCTTGCAGTAAGGCTTGCATTGGCACAAGCGTTCTCAAAGCCAATCTGGAGGGAAATATTCAGTGCAATTTACTTTTTTCCAATATTTCTGTCTTGACAAAGCTATGATGCTTTTCTGAAAAAACCCTTTGTATTAAAAAATTAAAGTTGTGCTGATCCACCTGATAAGAATTGTGTTCTTAAGCACGAGATACTGTCTGATGCTTGTCCAAAACAGTAATACCCTCCCGGCAGACCTGTTTCACCAGCCTTCCTCGCTGTCTCTCTGCCTCCTTCAAACCAGCAGTGCCCCAGCACCCGCCTTCTGCAGCGCACACAGTCCCGAGGGGTATTGTTAGTAGAGACTGATGGGACTCAGCAGGTTAAAATTAGTCAGGTAATGCAAGATGGTGTCATCGTGTCATTGCCTCACAGTTGCCAAGTTTCAGATAAATCACTGTCAGTCATGAAATACCCCTAATTGAAAGCAAGGAATTTTCAAACAAATTATGTTTAAACTGCACAACTGCCTCTATTAGCAACTACTGCAAGAAATTTGTGTTATTAATGAAAGCAATACCCTTCCAATAAGAACCATCCTCCATACCCAAGATCTCAAGATGGTCTGGGTGGAGACTTCCTCTCCAAACCAAAGGACGTGACACAACAGAACCTGGGACAGATGCAAGTAAAACTACCCGGTTCGCAGGATAGCGTGTGCCGCTTGAAAACGGCAAATGTTGAAGTAGAGATAAGAGATAAAACGTCATATGTAAGCACATAACGTGTTCACATGGAAGGCATGAAACTCAAAAAAATAATGACCAAAGACCAAAAGGAGTCAGGAAACGGCTCAACCGTGATGGTATCCTCACACCAAAAAGCTGTGATTAGTGCATGCCCTGGCCGTGGCAGCCCCCACGACTCCTGTGTGTGATGGTGGGTGTTAAGCCAGGGAGAACAGTCACCTGCAGAGCAAAAGCCACCAAGCTGCCTGCGACCGCAGCGGAGCTCCTCCACCCGGCACACCCAGCACCCGCCCCTCGGAGGCAGCACCTTCTCACACACCATGACCGGCTGAAGTCGTGGTGGCCCCAAAAGCCAGTTACTGCACGGATCGAGATTAAATTTCTAGCACTGGAAACTATTTCTTCCTTTTACTTTGATTATAATGGCCCATCCTACCATTATCCTGTCCAGAGCAGCAACCCATACTCCGTATTTCAGAGGAAGATAAAGACGAGGAAAACCCACTACTGTGTACCCCAACTGTGTACAGCCAACTGTGCAAAACTGCTTGCACATGAGAAAATTCCTGCAATAATCGCTGAATGCCCTGGAAGTTAACAAGAGGTTTGATTAGTATTACCAGCTCAGCTTGCACACAGGCACTTCCAAGAGCCAGCCACAACATCTGGAAGAGCTGGGTGGCTATGGCAAAGAAATATTTGCAAACA